GTAACACGAAGTCCGGCAAGCAATTATCGTCACACGTGTTCCTCCCGTGACGCATGAGCAAAGGGAAATGACTACGCTCGACCTGAATTACAAACGACGACGGCCATCTCGTCTTTCCGCAGACTCGAGTTTGCGTTCCGTGTTACGCGAGAACCTGCTCGAATTTTTGTTCGTTTAGGGAAAGCGATGTGTCTCTATTCGACAATGTCAGAGTTGGTCTGCTACAAGAATTAGTATCTTGGGAATTAAGTCGTCAAAATTATAATTTCAAAGAACCTGCTCTGAATCTGCAAGATAACCACGAACAAATACATTGATACTTACATTAATAAATAATAATTAATAAATAATAAATATATTAAAATACATGCAATATCTACGAGTCCAAACGAAAATAACCTACACGACCAATCCCGTACCCTACACTCCGTGTTCTCGTTTGACTCCTTATTGTTGAATATGGGAGGCGTAGATATTGCAAATATAAAAGAAGAGAAATACTTATCATCCAATTACATTGAATATTTTCAATGCGTTCTCTCACCGAACGTCTCCACCTCTCATCCGTGGATGAAATTGATTCCATCGCACGTGGAAGGGTTGCGTTTCTCCGGTGTAATTCGATATCGTCGAAGACGCGGAACGCGCGAAAAGAAATTCTCGAGGAACGTTTCCGTCAGCATACGGGATATACTCGTAAATTCGGTTACGTCATTACCAGGAGGCGCGTCTCGTAAATCGAATGAAATTGTTTCACGTTGGGTAAGGCGAGTACCGTGGGCTGTTTTAAGGGCGCGTAATACGCCCCCGCGACCTTCCATTCCGACGTCTTTTGCGTAGGTAAGGGAGGTCTGGGAGAGCGGTTCGATCTGTCGGGAACAGACGCCCTCGCGAGGGGCGCAACTTGATTTACACTTTCCTTATACGCCACTTCTCTCCCTGTTCCCAGAGAAGAAACGTGCAATTCTTCGAGTGAATCGAGAACAGCTTGGCTGGTCCAAGTCTGAAGTATGATTTCCTTACGTTGTTCGAGTGTTCTTTATAACCATTTCGGCGAATTTATCGACCCATCGGTCTCTCGTGCTTCGCTACTTCGCGGGTCGTCCGTTCTATTTAATAGTCATCGGATTGCGATCAAGGCTGGGACAAAATATTGTTCGCATAGTAAATAGAGAATGAACTATTTCAGTATTTATCCTTTGTTACTGTACAGCTCTGTTTAGTATTCGTCAGGTTGTATTAAATAGTAACTAGCGAATGGGCCACTTAATTGTAATATCTAACTATGAAAATAATATATTTCAGAGCAGGACTGCACGATACACTTCCTCAAAGACATCAATGTATATTCCAAAATATAATACAAAATCAGTCTCTACCTAAACAATTAATATTCGTCACTAATGACCTCGTAGTAAATGTAACATAAAGCAGATAACGAAAAATGAAGTATATAAATTCATTATTGAATTCAATACCGCGTGAAATATTTTTGCATTCATTTGAAAAAAGTATTTTCTCAAAAAATATTCCAATTGTCGCGACAATCATCCAAAATGACGTTTAACCCCTGGAACTTTCCGTTAACTACATGTCGAGATCACGCGGACGGTGATCTGGTCAACCTAATTGTTTATCGCGAAATCCCCTGGATGTTAATGGATTTAGCGATAATGTGGTAGTATATTAAATTGTCAAGCGCGGCAGTGCGCTTTTCGTTTAATGAAAAACGAGCAGCTGACAGAACGAAAATAAATCATGTTAACCGAAATTCCAAATCAAACACAGTGTAAACTTCGCGTTGGTTTATTTTCAACGATTCATTTAAACAAATATTTAATTAAACTTTACCGATGAATATGCGAAACTCGATTCACGATGGAAAAAAGGGAATATCGCGATTCACAACGGGAAGAGTGAACCGTATCGCGAAACGAAATTAATCGAATCAGAAACAAATGACATTTTCCACGTCCCCGATAGCGGGAACGACACACGCAAGCTGTATACGGAGCTCGCTTGAATTCGAACCGTCACTTGTCGCACTGTTTCTTCGTTTGAAACAAAACAGGAGACGTTTCAGACGTAGAAACGACAAAGACAAAATCTAACAAAGGGATAAATCCAAGATTTTTCCATTTACTCTTCACTCCTCCAAGTATTTTACTAGTTTAAAAATTTGTAAATCTATTGTATTATTGACTGTATAAGCACATGACGAAATATAAAGGTGTGAGGAAATCTATAATTGATTCTACCAATTATTTTTGCATTGTTAAGGATAGATTCGACTGGTTTTAAAAGCTGACAAATTTCTAGGAATGCTGTACTATATACTGTTATGTGTGAGTATTTCAGAGGTGAAGAAACTCACACCTGGTGGATTAGGTTAACGAGTGTAGAAAAGCGTTCAATGCGACGCAAAAACGATCCTAGTGTGTAGATTTGGGATTGGTTGCGATCGAAACTAGTGGAGACTGTTGGAATTCATTTGAAGTTTTGGACGAAAAGAGGCGGGCAGAATTAGTGTACCGGTGGCGAGAGAGTCTCGAGGGTGCATTACCCACGAAGAGGGTGGTATACCGTTGGAGACTTTGTACAGTAGTCGATCGAGATTCAAAGGTAGAGTTTCTTTGAGAGTCGGTGGAAAGAGCAAAGTTTAAAAAGGGAAGAGAAAAAGGTGGAAGTTGGAAGGAGCAATTACTTATTCTCGACCTTTTTTTAACAATGGAAGATCCTTAATTGTGGTCACTACACTTATATAATATATTCAAACTAAATCAATAGGCAGAAGCATAGAAACACTCACTTACATAATATGAAATACGAATTAAATTACGTTATAATATGAATTACGTTAGTAAACGTAACTGGAATAAATTAAACCAATTTACGTTTTATTTTTCTTAATTTTTTCGGAGGGGTTAGGAAGAGTGTCATAAAATGCGTTCAAAAATTTACAGTATGCGTTAAAATCTAACTAACTAAACTAACTGATCGCGAACCGCCAACTGCTGTACCATACTTAATGATTTTCCGCGACAGGACATTCTTTTTCTTAGAAAACTAATTCATTGCTTTGTGAGGCGCTAAGCTGTGTAACGGGACATATTTATTCTGTTACTACCCACCCATTTCATCGCCTCGCAGCATTTTTCACCATATAACGTGACATGAATTTCGGCCGTTCGAAAATAAAAAGATTTTCAATCTTAAAAAAGCCTAAATGTTTTCCAGGTTCCTCGCACGCAATTTGAAACAGTATGTACAAACCCACAATTCCTAAAACCACTCCTTACAATCCTCGGGCTTTCACATTTACCGCAGAAATTAAAATAAAACTAACCTCGTCGAGAAACCCCTGAAATAACCGTGCACGACAAAATTTGCTGCAACTGCACGCATCGCGAGCTGCAAACAGTTATGTTACCAGACTCGCGTAAGTGGAGCCCTGCGAAGGGGGGTTGAAGAGCAGGGAGGCGAGTCATTAAGCAGGAACTGCACCGGGCCTCTTCTGGATATGAAGGTGGGTTTTAAAGGAGCCAGCTAAGGAGGTCGGAGAAACGAGCAGGGTAAAGATGCCGCAAAAGAAGGCGGGTAGCGACGGCAGTCTTGGAGGCGGGGAGGTGAGGAGGTCGGGAAATGAGGCTGCAGCCGCGCATTCCATCGCGTCGGATCGGTTTAAGAGCTTGCGCCACCTTCGGCGGCGAGAGATCGAAAAAATTTATCGAATGATAAATTTGATAGCTACAACCCTTAAATATATCATAGGCAGATTAAATTGGAAAAATCGTAATATTGAAAAATATGTGAGATATTAGTCTGTGAGGAATATGCTACTTGCATTAAAGATCTTCCCAAGGTCACCATTTTGAATAGAAATTGAAGCACCGCCGCGATTAATTTCTTCAGAACCAGATCTACTTTATGTTTCGATGGCACCCCTGAAGAATTCATCGCCGGAACGCCGCGACGTTGACATCCTGCGACCTCCTTCCTCGGCCGCAACTACTTCCTCGCTTTCAACCAGTCGCGTAAAGAGTAGCAGCGAGGTCCTTTGAGAATAACGCATCGGAAACGTTCCCTCGAGGCGCCGCAAGGGAAACCGTTAGGGCGTTAAGAGCACTTGTTGCCACCCCGTTATCGTTACTCTTCTCGCCGCGCTACTTGCTCTTCCATCTCCCGGAAATTCATCTCCTGCCCCCGCGACCGTTTTGTTCGACTGGCGCACCTATGAAAGGGACAGAAGTTAAGTGGCTCGGGGTTGCACGATGAAGCTCCTTCCCTCGCCCTAATCCTGACTGACAGACCCAGGCGCGAAACATAAACAGAAGAACTGATCGCTTGACTCAGGAGGAATCGAGTAACCATTGAGGAGACTTCAAGGACGGTTAAAGGATTATGTGTTTGAATAAGTTCCACGGTGTTTGCTAATCTGAAAGCTCGAAACGATTTGATTATTGAGTTCAATCATAGGTAGATACTAGATGTCTAAAATTGTATAATTCTGCAAAAAAAAAAAAAACGACAGAAATCTAATCAATCTGTGGATTTGGAGTTGACTTCTTCTGCATTCGTATTCGATCAACTATCGTGGGTTTGTTGCAACATTTTGTTTGTTCCATCCTCTTTGGTAACACCATCGACTTGTGTACAATAATCACGTTTAACGTTTGATCTCGCGGAAGAGTAGGTCAGCAACCCACCGAGCTGAATAACAGTCATCTCGCCAGCTATTTTTCACACCTCCTCCCTTCCCTCTCGTCTCCCTCCAACCTTTTCTTTCTTCCTCCGTTTTCTTATCCTCTCCCACGCCGCCATCTGCGCCTCTCGCCAGCGGAGCAAACTCCTTCAGCGTCGTCCTCTGCATTTTCCAAAGCGGCGTCCAGCAAGAAGAAGTCACCGCGCCGGAACGCCCGTTTTCCGCTCGAGGGACAAAACGGACGCGAACGCCGACCGTAGGGTTCCGTTCTACACGAACCATCTGCTTTCTGTTTCAGCGTGAAGACGGACATGGGCACCAGCGGCGCTACATCCAGGCTCTATATAGCAAACGCGAACAAAAAGGACAGCGGGAACTATAGCTGCGCTCTGGCGGATGTCGCCGCGGCCACCACCGTCTCCGTCCACGTGTTAAATGGTACGTTTCGAGCATTATTCGGTATAGTTATAGCTAGGTAGGTCAAGAGTACTCTAAAAACTCGAATCGGTCCATCTCTAAGTTTTTGAAACATCCTTGTATAATATTTTTACACGCTAATATGTAACCGCAACGACGATCACTGCTGGAGACCAGTGTCAGTTTCAGGTCAAAGTCCGCAATAAAAATAAATTCCACATCCGCTATAATAATTTCACCGAGCATTCACGAGGACGAGACATCACATTCGAGATCACACAACCGTGTCATTGGCGTTTTTACATCGCGCGGTTCATCTTTATTCATGGCCGTTAGGCGATCAAGATTAAACGGAGACCGCCTATCCGATGTTTGAAATGGTTCCGCCATTTTGTATTACCTACGCCCAAATGGTTCCGGTGTGTATTTTTCACGGTGTGGGACATCGAATATACGTCAAAGTGAGTTACGCGAGGTAACTGAAAATTATGCACAGCCCGCGAGCGCACATGTTCCGAACGTTCAACGTCCTATCTCATCGGCTCCTAGCGAAACATAAAAAAAAGAGAGGAACCTGTGACGCAGAAATTACTCGCCCGACTTGCCTGTGTAAATTCTTACGCGAGGTGACGTTTTAATAACACACGGGCGATGCTTTTTTAAGTTCGGGAGTAAACTTTTGTCTGAAACGGAACTACGAGAAACGAGGAACTAGGAAACACGAGGGAGAGGGAAGTCGGTCGCGATCGCCCACAAAAGTTTAACAACGTGGAACAGCTCGAGTGATGGGAGGGAATTTTATTGTCGAACGCAAACTGTTAAACACTGGGAATTTCATCTCCCTTGACTGGAAGCCTCGGGCGCCTCGTTCGGACGGGAACTAGAATCGTTTGCGACAACATTAGTACAGTGAACGTTTCCATTCTTCTCGTTTCTGGAGTAATGACTTCGATGCGACATAAAACAAGAGAAGACAAAAATATATATATAAATGATACACAATTAAGTCATGCATTATTTACTTTCATAGTAGTAATTGGTACAAACGAAACCTCAGTGGGCTAATTTTCCCCTCGCATAAAATGTTCCACGTTTGGAAGAAAATACACCAAGTACACTAATTGGTACTTCGCAATTCATGGTTTTGGGGTAGCTGTTTATTGCATCTCAATTTGCACGTTTGCAGGCTCACAAAGGACTCGAGGACTTAATTTGAAATACTGACTTGAACGCGGTATGCAAATGATGCTTGATTTCGATCAATGCCGCTTACATTTTCCGCTGTAGTTCATTGTACACCTGGCATTTCACGTAATTAAATCCTCGCGATAGACATTTCGAAAATACAAAAGACAATTCGCGACAAACGCACGCGTCCAATTGAAATTCTGCTACTCGACTGAACACTTGTTGTACGTCGAGTAATGAGAGCAATTTTCTCCAGGTGCATTTGCGAGCAATTAACGTCGTTAGGACCGGGCGTGTTGTTTTGTAACGATTAATATAATCGTAACGTATTTAAAAAGACAAATCGGTGTCCCTGCGAAAAGGAATGCACGTCAAAAAATGCACGTTTTCTTTTTTTTTAACGCAACAGCAGACACATCATTTATTATTTCTTATATTACGTTTTTTCCTCGCTCAGCGTTTCTCTTGAATTGTGTGTCCAATCTTCTACACGGGCCACCTATCCTTTCTTCTCCGTTATCCTTTTTCCGCTTACTCATATTAAACTTCAGACCACGGTGGACGGCGTGAAGAAGATAAGTGTTTGCTCGACCAACAGAAGCATCACTCGTCGAAAATTCTATAATTTTCTAAGTGGCAGCGCAATTTACCGTCGCTCGATTGAGCGTATTTTCTCGTGGTCGCGTTGTCATTCCTTGGTGTGTATATTAGACGTCAAAGTGCGCGATTTTCAATTACTTCAGGACGTACAATTTTTTTAGTACAGCTCCAGAACGAAGGAATTTCTGAGTAGAGATTCATAAATCGTGTTTGGATAAACTAACGAGTTCTTCCAGCACTCTTTACTTCTTCATTCTGTGTTTGTATTGCAAACAAAGTCTTTTAACTTTTTTTCAATCCTCTTCTTGTTGTAGATACATATCATAACAATAGGCCAACATTAAGGTTTCCCATTAATCCCATATTTCCGTTCGATCGTCGAGTCGCTCGAAAGGCACAATAAGTCCGCAGAATGGAGCGATTTGAAGCATCGCCTAAACAAAATTGATATCTACAATTGAATCGAATTAACCATTTCGCGGTTGCACTTTGGCATCCTCGACATGATTGGGAACCGTGTACAAGGACGAAGTTAACATTAGTGTAAATTGCTTTACGCGCGAATTTGCATTAAGCATCCATTGCCGCATTCTCCGGAGCTACAAAGCACGGACCATGTCAGCGAATCGCCCTAGCATCCGTACGAAGCCGTTTAAGGTTTCCCGTGGACTATACCTATCGTATAGCTCTAGGAGCTTATCGAGAAGGTCGTCTATCGAGTCTTCAGCCAGCGCTTGAAGTTATAGCGAATGCAAGGGGCTCTGTTACTCACTGATAACAGTGTTTGGGAGGCTCTAAGGAGAACGAAATGTTATAGCCATCCTTCGCTATCGATATAATTTTCCAGACTTTTGCACGGTCGATAATTGATTTTCCATGGCTTTTCAACGGCACGCTGTCTATTATCCCGTCCCTCCGTCCTGTTTCTTTCTTCCTTCACCTTGCCCTCTCTCGGTGTCGTTCATGAAAACCAAGCTTCCGAGCACGGATGAGTCATGAAGATCCTGCCGATGACGGCTGGCTCGATTGCTATTCGCGGCCCTCCGCTTCGTCTTGATTTTCATTCTCTTCGAGACGTTTGCGTAACCAGACTCGATCGGCAGCTACTCGAAGGAAATAGTCTACCGGCTGGTTATCAAGCACGGTAGACTGAAGAGCCACTCGTTAATACGGCTGAACGAGTTTGGATCGAAGCACTCTCTATCGTGCCGTTTTCAGGTACACTTGTTTAAAAGTTGTCTTGGGAACACTTTTTAATGGGGAATGTTTAGAAAGAATGACGCGTATTCAACCGATGTTCTAGGCATCAAACATCGAAGGATACACTTGGACATCGATCAAATATACCAAAATTCACGTGTAGTTCTAAACGCAGAATACTATCAACATTTAAAACGTACGCAAGGACTAATAAAGAATCATTTTCATTGGAGATTTTGCATCGAAATTCCTATGAATTATCGTGATTCTCACCAATCAGAAATCAATTCGTGACCCGTGTCAGAACATTAACAGAACGGGCCAACGGTGCTTCGATTAATCACGCTCCTCATCGTTACTCATGATCTTCGCTCCCGCCCTAATTCATCGTCGTGTTTACACGAATCCCCCTGGCGCAACGTAACAGGTGGAACGGCCCACCATTTTCGTAACATCGTCCTCTCAAAAAGTAACGCTCTTCTCCCCCTCCGTACGTTCCCAGAATTCCTTGTTCCCGATTCGCGACTACGAGACGGGAGCTTTGTACGACTAAGTTTCAAATTTATTCTCCCCACCGTTCGTTCGCCTCGCCCTCGTCAGCCGTCCTTTCTCATTTCCCTTCCGGTTTCCGATCCTTGGGGTAACCGCAGTGTTTCGTATGCCGCTTCCACCACCCACCTCCCATTCTAACGGGTGCTCGTGCATGGCGTATTCATGGAAAAGTTCGCCCGAGATATTCAGGTCGACCCATTTCCCTCATCGAGCCCTCCCCTTTCGACTCTGCTCTTTTTCCCGTGATATTTCCAACTGCTTTCTCCGTTTCTTTCCTCTGTTCTCGTTTCCTTTCTCTGCCTCCTGTCCCGTTTCCTCGCGATTTCTTGGATTTCGTATACCTCGCTTATGGTACGCGCAACTAGCCTAGCTTTCTACCTGCGAGAAACGTCAATCGCGCGCGAGTAACCCGGTCTCTCCTCGAATCCACTTTTCCACCGAGTGTAACCGTTTGTCTCCGATTACGACAGCTAATATCGATACGCCGAGGGAACAGCGCGTTTATCTTGTTCCGTTGACTTCACCAAATCGACGTGCCTTGATCGGATATGCTCGACGTAGCCTGTCGAGTTTTGTGATACGGAGAGGGTAGCGAGCGAGTTTAGACATTCTTTGTGGATTTACTTGGAGGGAAGTATTAAAGAGGTGCTAGTGGTCAGCAGAAGAACAGGAAGTATTTAAAGAAAGCTAAAATTATTTTAAAATAACACCATTTGTACAAACTCGATATATTAGCACGTGGTGTAAAAGTTACACTGGCCCATAGAGGGTTAAATTTACCCATCAACCCTTCCATGCACAGCGTACAATGATCGAATCGCATTTAGAGTATCTACGACGCATTTTTCAAAGTTTGAAAAGGCACCGCGTCGCAGTGAACTGACTTTCCGCGATCCCGAGGGAACGACGCTCCAGATTCCTGCGCGTTTCTTTGTCCCCGCGCCGCTGCGAGAACGTAAGCCCCGGGAAGTTTTGTATCCCGACGAAAATCACGTGTAAGTCGAATCGATGGGGCGGCACGGGCACGTCGATACGTACTGCTAAACGCAGGCTTTGGGATCCGCGGATGGAAGAGGCTTTTGAAGTTTCAGCGAGGGGCTTCAACTAGTTTTCACGGCGGCTTTTCGCGGCTCGGACCGACGGAAGTATCGGGAAGTCCCGCAGCGGAGGCGTCGTGCATTATTTACCAGGGATTATCACGAGTCGAGACCCGACGGCCGTAGTTCGATCATATCCGCGACCGAGGCTTTCGACTTTCCGAAAGAGAAAGCCGAGAGTTGGGAACAATAAAGTCTGCGAGGAACGAAACAATTTGCGCGGCACGGTTTCTCTGTGAAAAAAAAATAATCGTGATTCGAAACAGCGGTGAAAAATTTTCCATCGGTTCCTCTGCTGTCCCGCGGGGAATTGGGTATACAGGGTGTAAAAGCAGGAAGGAATGGAAAGTAGGGGAGATTTATGAACAACAAAAATGTGTACTT